GTATATGTATATATGTGTATGTATGTATACATATATATATGAATACATATATATATATATATACATATATATATATATATGTGTGAGTGTATATATATATATATTTATATATATATATTTAGCTCTCCAACACACGGGTGCAGGGTCATTTAGTCAGCTACCGTGCGTACCTATACCCGCATCAATGGCAACAACTGGGCCCATCCCTATGACACCTGTTCTATCTCGCGTAGGGTTTTAGGGTTCAGAATGCGGGACCAACCAGTCTGTTCCAGTGTCTACCCGCACGTTTATCGACGCAAAGGGGTTCTTCTTCTTCTTCTTCGCTTACCTACTCAAACCACTCCCGCGCGGCTGCGACTGTGTACCGTCCATACAACACACATCGTAGATTGCACAGGACACGCTGCTGCACTCCCGCGCGTACCAGGTGGCGGTGGACCAGTACGGCAGCAAGTGCAACGAGGCTCTCAGCAGCTTCATTGAGCTGATCTCCAGCTGCCAGGAACTCGATGAGGCAATGCACTCGGTGTACGATCTCGAGAAGATGACGTATGTGTGTGTGTGTGGTCTTGAGAAGATGACGTATGCGCGCATAAGGTCTCGAGAAGATGACGTATGTGTGTGTGTGTGGTCTTGAGAAGATGACGTATGTGTGTGTGTGGTCTCGAGAAGATGACGTATGTGTGGTGTGTGGTCTTGAGAAGATGACGAATATGTGTGTGTGTGGTCGCGAGATAATGACGTGGGTGTGTGTGTGGTCTCGAGACCTATGGCGTTCCTCATACCGCGTACAAAATCAACGAATTGATATATCGAGAGTCGGGCGTAGCATATGTGTTATTCTTGCGTATTTTTAGCGGGTGACCTTACCTAACCCGCAACTGTACAGTTTAATATATATTTAGAGGTATTACAATAGATATCTACTACTGTAACACACATGCATGTGAAAGGCCACGGGTTGGGTACGCTTTATGCACACCCATATATTTTTATTCTTGCCTTTTTTTATTCTTGTAAATCTTGTTTCTTATATATCCTTATTCTACACACCTTTATTCGTCGTATCTATCCTTTATTCTTATATATCTGTATTGTACATTTATTCTTGCATATCTTTATTTCTATCTATCGTTATTCTTATATATCTTTATTCGTATATATATGTATTCTTATCTATCTTTATTCTTATACATCAGTAATCTTATATTATTTTATTTTATTATATCTTTATTGGACAGTTTCCGACGATATCCTACAACAATACACTCTTTTCTCTCTCTTCTTTAGACTGGCCGTAGACAAACAACTGACACATCTCGAGAAACTGTTGGACGACGAATGAGCGCTCACACAAACTCTGAACTCGTCCGTCGCCCGTGCCTGTTTTAGGGTTTTAGGATTACAACCCTACTTGCACCCAACGAGACCTACCTACAAGGT